ACAACATCAGCTATCAGAGAAACGGAGAAACCATGCAGGTCAAATATTAGAGCCACTCATACCCAGAATCATTACTTTTTTAAATCATTCTTTATATCAGAAAGAATTGCACCAAAAAATAAAATAAAATAAAAAGAGAAAAAGAAAGACCTTCATCTAGGACCTGGGAATTGTCACTAGTTCAGAAAACTTTGCATGGGTCATGACCTGTCCACGGCCTCCCAGCACATCTCTGTGGTTTCACATGTAGGGACTGCATTTCATATCAGGCATACCGTGCATATGTGCATAATGTGTGTAAAATTTAAAAGGCCTTGCATTTCATTTTCTTTTTTCTCCTACAATGCTAAGGATAGAATCCAAGTTGATCCCACTCTAAGCAAACCAATTTTATTTATTTGTTTTGCTTATTTGGATAAATGCAAGCGCCTGCCAAGGCTGGAGTAGGTGCTCAAGACATTCTCTGCAGCAGCTATGACTTGGTTGCGTGGAGTAAGACCAGAAGAAGCTAAGTAAAACCTCCCATGAGGGTTAGCTCCATTCACAGCAAGGGTTATGGTGTTATTTCCATCATTACATTTTGTGTGCCCCCCACCCTTTATAGCCTCAAGATTTAGAAGGATGTGAGCCCTGGAGGCTGATATGTCTGGGCCAGGTTGTGGCCCACATCAGAGGATGATTAGAAACTTAACAGAATTTGGTGGATTGTGTCGTTGAAAACCTGAAAAGCAGAGATGGAGTGTCCCGCGCTACTGTCTCGCCAGCAAGAACGACGCAGGGCACGTAGGATCCTTCTGCAGAACAGCTTTTTAATGCATCTTGAGAGCGAGAGCATAAGCCGACATGGCGGAGACCCAGAGCGAGGCGAACCCAGCCCTTATATAGGAAACAGTCCCCGCCTCGGAAGTGTCACTCTCAGATTGGTCAGCTGCCCATCATCTCAGATGACGCCTCGGGAGAGGCAGGGACTACAGCGTTGGAAATTTGCCAACACATGAGCGTTATCCTGTTCACCGCGCAGTGGAACCGGATGTCAGCGCCATCTTGGAATGGCAAATGTGGTTGCGGTCCTCTACAATGGAGGAATGGTTCTGAGGCGAGCGTCTCTCCAGGCATCCCTACGGTATCCCCAGTGACTTGACCTGTCTCTACACCACTCATCAGTAACTAAACGGGAGAGAAAGCACAGAGAAATAATCTTCTGAGCGAAGGGGAAAGTTGCTTCCTGCTGACCACAAAGACACTGGATTCTCATGACACCAATAATCTTCCTGCCAGACAACGCGCCCATCCCAACCTCCTCCAGTGTGGCCACTGACATGGTAAGCCATGATCCCTTCCAAACCTGAGGGCCCAAAGAGACAATCAACAGACACACGGAAAGGAGATGGGAATACAATGGGAGAGATGGCTCAGCAGTTCAGAGCACTTGCTGCTCTTCCAGAAGACCCGCATTCTATTCCCAGCACCCACATAACAACTCACAATCACCTTCCAGGGGATCTGGTGCCCTCTTCTGGCCTCCCAAGGCCCTGCACACATGTGGCACACATACATATACTCAGTCTCAAACACATACACATGAAATAAACAGACATTTTTTTTAAAGATGTGAATTTTAAAGATCTTCTGTGGTCCTACTTGGGACTCACTCAGTAGCACCCTGGCCTCTGGGCACGGGAGGAGCAATTTGGCCCAGGTGCTCCACACACCTGCTTGAAGGTAATGCAGAGTCCTTAACTCTGGAACTCAGCCTCAGGTCCCCACTAGAGGGTGTCGGTGTGAAAGCCAAGCCCGGTGCTGAAGCAGCATGTGCCCCATGCCACTGTAATGCCCCACACAAAGGACTAAGCAACTGTTGCCAGGGTGTGCACTCCACTGCCCAGCTTACAGTACTCTCTGCCTGGTGGTCTTGTCCACTGATGCCTTCACAGACTCATTCACGACTTCCCTGGCCACTGCCAAACATCATTCCTCCAAATAAGCCCACACTGTTCCTCCCACCTGCCGTCGTGTTCTCAGAGCTTCCCTGAGTGTTTTCACCACAACCAAGCAAAGGCAGGCTCAGAGCTGCCTGCCGCACTCACGGTCCCTGGAACCCTAGGTTCATGTCTCTGTCACTACCATGGCCACCCATGTCAGGCACTCTGCCAAGATTTGCTCAAGAGATAGGAACACACTGATATGTGAAAATAAGCCTTAAAAACAAGGTAGTTATGGTTCCAAATAAATTTAAAGAAGATATAAATCAAAGCCAAATGGGCTTCCAGTGTGAGAGTCAACCTCAAAGGATCATGGCTATAATGGGTTTTTATCTGCATTAAATACAGCCGGTTGGAGGAGACTTCACTTCCAGAAAGGAGACTGGGGACAAATTTGTCTCTAATTTTGGTTTCGGAAAAATAAATTAAGGCAATTATTACCTCAAGATTGCTACCCAGCATCCTTCTATCGCCTTTAAATTCCACATGAATGCAACCCATACTAAGGACTCAGAAACAGTCAGTGGAGTATGCGTTTTCCTTCCTGACAGGGTCCGTGCTATTTATTGAACTTGTAATTGGTCATCAGGTCTTCTGTGCAGGGTAGGAAGCGGGAGTCACAGTTTAGGTTATCTGGAATGTTTGTGTGGACAGGTGTCAGATGGAAAACCAGTGGGGTCAGCAGCATTGGGCAGTGGATGTCAACTAAAGGCTCTCATGGAGTGGAACTGAGGGATGAGGGTGAGGAGTGAGAGCCGGAGGTGATGGTGGGCACATTCTCTGAGCCGTCAACCTCCATCTTCAGGTCAATGTGTGGACACTTAGACCTCAGCGATTGGTCACACAGTTCAAAGTTACCCTGGACTCTTGGAGACAAGGTGACCGCCAGTGGGATCTCAAGGATTCCTTCTCTGAATGCATTTCTAGAAGAATTTGGTGATGTGCTTTCTTGTTGTGGGGGAGGGACTTTAGAGACAGTGATGAATCTGGCTGGGGGAAGGGTGAAAAGCTGCACGGAAGGGGAAAAGATCCCACATTCAAGGTGGAAGGGTTGACCTGGACCAGGATGAGGAGTGAGGGTTGCAGGCAGGTGTTTGGTGGCACCATCACCTCAGTGACTCGCTCCATCACTGTCCCTTCTGAGAAGCCCTGGGCGCATGCATTTCCTCAATGCTCGCTTTTCCTAGTCTTCCAACGTGGCCACTACCATCTCATCCTAGGAGGAAGCCACAGAAAGATGAGGGAAGCTGAAGGCCAGACTGAGGTCCCGTCATGGTCGCAGGAGGTCACTGAGCTGTTACCTGAGAGTTGTTCATAAGACTCTCTGAGTCTACGCTGCCTGGATGCACAGCAACACAGAAAGCAGGGACAGCAGCTGAGGGACCGCCTGTTCTCTTCTTCTCCTTCCTGAGACAATATAGAGTTTAAGACAATAACTGTCGACACTTTAAATGTGGTTACTACAATTTACCACATCAAAACATTATAGTAGAAAATTTGCAAACCTGCATAAATAAACTCACCTGAATTAAAACAGTCTGATATCTCTCCTGAGCAAATGTGACATCGAAACGCAGATTTCTTTTTTTCTTTTTGATGCAAAAACCTGAGGTTTTGCACGTGGTAGGCGGTGTTCTTCCACTGAGCGACAGGCCAGCACTACCTCAAAAGTATGCACTATCATTCCAGCAATTACAGTGCAGGCAGGACATGGAAACCATGCAAGGCATTTCAGTCTGCTGCAAGAAAAAAGATGCTTATTATTAATGTATGCGGATGTATAAGGCAATGAGGTGATTCATGCAAAATATACTTCTAGAAAGCTGGGGAGGAGATGGCCCACCAGGTAAAGACACCTGCTGCCAGGCCCCGTGGTCTGAGTTCAGTCACCGAGACCCACGTGTTAGGAGGAGGAAACTGATTCCTTCAAGTTGTCTATTGACTTTCACACGGGTGGCAGTCCACATGCGGGCACCCATTCGTTTAATGAACGAATAAGTTCATTAAAAAAAAAAAAAACAGTGAAAGTTAGGCCAACTTAGGCTGACAGATTAACTCAGACCTGGAGGTACAAAGGCAAACAGGTAGACTTCCCAGAACCACAGACACATGCCTATACACTCATGCACATTCACATGGTTACAGACATGTACACACAGGCACATGTTCACTCCAAGGAACTGTATCTCCATGCATGTGGTAGGCATGTATCTGATGCCAGTCTGTGCCTGCAGCACTATGGAGCAGACTGGCTGGGCTGTGAGTTCAGGAGATGTCTCTGACCTCTCTGTCCAGCTCCCCTGTGCATATGGGAGCTAGACAGAGGAAGACTGTCTTCCCCCAGCCCCGCACGCCTTCTATTCCCACACACCAGATTCCCCTATGACTAGAAGGTAATTTGAAGCTAGCTGGCAAGGGAGCCTGGAAAATTCAATTTATAGAAGCTCAGCTTTAGCCTCTCAGAACAGCGTGGAGAGCTGTGGGTTCATGGAAAAGAGGGGTAAACACTCAGCCCAGAATCCTACCTGAAGCCTGGGAGGGTGCTGTGAACAGTCTCTTTACAGTCCTGAGTAGGAAGGCATAGGATTTAAGTGCTATGTTTAGACAGCATGATCGAATAGGGTGGAAAACATAAGAACATTGGAAAAAGTGTTGTCATTATTGGGAGATATGCTGCTGTTGTCTAAACAGGCTGTGGTACACTTTAGAAACCATTATTAAAATTAGTATGCACTTAGAAAGGCACTGGCTATTAGTACAATAAACGTGAAAGCATGCATAGTCCTTTTTCTATAAATAAGCAATACTCAAGGCATGTATTTTAAAGGTATTTACAGAGACAATCTAAAGTAGCTAGCAAGAAATCCAAGTGAAAATGTAGAGAAAAATCAGACATTGTTGCTTCAAAGCAGGATTCTCTCAGAAGTGCACACTTATGGCCAAGGCAACTCACCCTCTATGATGTCAAAGCCCTCTGAGCTGAGTCATGAATTCCATGGAGATCCCGGCTCTGGGAGTGGGTGTCATAGTTCTGACCTTGATAATGAGCAGAGAGGGTCAGGACTGGCCACCAGGTTACTGAGGACAAAGTCACCACAGACTTTGATATTGGAAAGAGGGCAGGAAAATGACGGATGGAACGGAGCAGGAAGAACAACAAAACACAAGGATTGGGCAGAAACTAGCTCAGGGGAGAGAGGCAGGCAAGGAAAGCGTCCTTATGCAGCTCAAGACAGCTGCTTCACCATGGAGACTGCAAAAGGAAGGAGAATGAACCCCTGCTTTGTGATGCTTTTTAGATTCTTGAAGAGCAAACAGAGGCAGAGCCGTAAGCATTTTAAGGATTTATTTTTATTTTTATATCTCTGTGTGTCTATATGAGGGTATGTGTGTGCTCATGGAGTACCTGCAGAGGCCAGAAGAGGGCGTAAGAACCTCTGGAGCAACAGCTACAGCTGTGAACTGCCTGGTGTAGATATGGGTGTTGGAGTCAGGTCTTTTGGAAGAGCAGCAAGTACTCTGGAAGTATTTTAAAATAAAACATTCCAGACTTGAGCATAAAGACAAGACAGTACTAACCATAAAACACTTTAGGAGTAAAACCCTTTTGTTTATAAAATGATGCCATTACAGGTAGGAGAAAAGTCATAAAATGCATAAGATATTTACAATGTGCCTGTCCTAGGAAGAAGTACACAGGGTAAAAGTACCTCTAAATCGACAGAAACTGGCATGCCCACCAATGGAAAATGGAGCAGACATCGGAAAACACAGGTAGAAAACAAGGAGAGTTGATTGCTAATACACATTTACAGCGATGGTCAAATCCATTGCTCACTGGGGAATGCAAATTAAAATGACCGGTTTATTTCCACCAGGCAGATAAAACTTAAGAAGGCAGGTTTGGCCGAAGTCCACGAATCTGTGAGCGGTGAGTATTCACCCACTGGCAAGACAAGGAAATCTCAGCAGGGGTGGTGAGGACGTGTCCCGCTTGTGGTCAGTGTTTGTACACTGGATGAGCCCCTCACAGATGTGTGCACGAATGAATGTCTGTACTGTGGCCTAAGAGTTAGCTTGACTTGTTACGGTCCAATTCTTGTCCCTTCTACCCAAGGCTGGGCCACTGGACCTTCAGCTTCAGGTCCATTTGAGAGCTGATTGTAGGACTGGAGAGGTGACTTAGTCTTTAACGCGCTTAGCTCAAAGATCCCCAGAACCCGAAAGCAGGGGTGATGTGGGTGCAGCATGCAGCTGGCCCTGGAGGGTTTTCTCCCAGGTTCCTATCTGCACCTCTTTCCTTTAGGGATGGCAACTGGGGAGCATTCAAGCTGCTGCCCAGGGCACATCTTTCCTAGGCTGCCATTGGGGTGGTGGGTAAATGCTTTGTCTCGGCTGTTTTGTTCCCGCGGTGCGGAATGGGCTTCCCAAGGGGTGCCTGCATTTTTGCATTTGGTGCTGTGGAGCAAAGCCCAGTGTGGATCTCTGGACTTCAGCCAGGTCTGCAGGGTTTCCACAGCCCAGTTCCAAGTATCAGGGCAACTACTGTGGCCTGTCTGTCCCCCCCCCTAAGTACTACTTTCTGTCTTGGATGTTATTCTGGACTGCTGAGAGCAGAGGGGGCTCTTTTCCCATAGGACTCTTTTTCCTCTATTGGGAACAATGATGGTAAATCCCTGTCTGCTGCAGGGTGGAAGGGTGGAGACAGACAACACAGTAGAACCAAAACGATGTAGCCTCAATTTGTTCAAAGTCCTGCCATACCAGTTGGTTCTGGTCATGCTAGGGAAGGGGTGTGCCCATTCCAGTATGAGGGCCCTGCAAGAGTCTAACAAACCTGATGCATCTTCCAGAAGCTCTCGGGAATACATGCCATCTGTGGTTCCCTTCTCTCATCATTCCCCCGTGCAGGAAGAGGGGTGTCTCTGTCCCCTAGTCCCTTAATCTCATAGGCACAACACTCAAAACCTGGCTTTCTTATCTGCCCTGTCCAAATCCTAAGGCTGGTCAGATCCAATCAGTTCTTTGACCTGGCATATTCTTTTCAGCCCTTGGGCCGTATTTGCAGTTCAGCAATTGCAGAGACCTGGGCGGTGGTGGCCATCTGTAATCTAGATGAGGGCCTTTAGGGTAAACAAGCCACACTTTCAAATTGCATTCATCAGACACTCTCAAATCGCTCCCCAGACAGAGAAGAGGTGCCTATCCTGGTGCTGTGAAAGGGAGCAGAGCTTGGGGAAAACTGGGGTAGAATGGTTTGATGCTGGGGAACTGGTCACGCAGTCCTGTCCTAGAGCAAAGAGCGACAGGAACCATTACAGCAGGTCCTTATCCAGTTGCAGCAGCAGACCCTGCAGGGCCACCTGATAAAGAGCAGAGGCTTTTCAAGCACTGTGGAGTGCACGCTCAGAGGGGCCGAGCCCGTGTCTCTACAATAATAGCCCATAACTGGGCATTCTCATTCAGGCAGGCAGCTTCTCCCTCAGAGTTGGGGTTGGAATCAGGTGCTCTGCTCTCAGGTTCTTTAGGCTATGTAGATGGTTAAGCTGCCAGCCCCCAAAGAAAAAAGACCCTAAAGCCACTGGGCTGCTGTAGTATGTATGCCCTTCTCCAGCACACTTGATCTCTACAGGTCAGTCTGGGAAGCTGGTTGTCAGGGCAGCCCTATTTTGGGGTGGGGAGGGGCCGTGTGGCAGCATCTCTATACAGGCCACATGGGTTTTCTTAGGAAAATCATTCTCCACTCCAGGAAAGGCTCCTCCAGAGTGCCACAGTGAGCTTGCATACCAGGTACTATTTTTTGGATACCTCACCCATTGATGGGCATACCTCTCAGCGTGGTAACCCTGCAGGCATCCCTAGCAGTGAACACTGGAGAACAGAGAAGATCATCAGCAAGCCCAGAGGGCAGAAACATGAAGTGTAGACTTGGTTGTCTTTGATGTGGATTGCTGGAGCCTCCATCAGAAGCCACCACTAAGACCACTTACAACTGCCCACTAGACCTCTTAGCTGGTGGTGACCCCAGAAGATCAAGGCTGTCTGCTATGACTCACTCAAACACACCGTGATGTGACCTTGTGTGTGTCCCAAGTAGAGGAGCTAATATGGCCGCCATTTGTTTTACTATGACAGGTAAGGGAGGTTGGCAGTGAAGAACCCTTCATGTTGAATAGAGGACTGAGAAGACACAGCCAGGTAATTTCACAAGAAGCTGAACATGTGAGATGCTGTGGGAGTTCCTTCAGCTCCTTCAGCCAATCGCCGCTGAGTTACCAGCCCATTGGGGCGTGGTCTCTCTTCCTTTAAAAAAAGCAACGGCTATCCTCCACTCTGTCTTTGTCTTCCGGCTCCGTTTCCGGCCCCTGGACTCCTTTCCTGTTCGCGCGGAGGGGCTGTTGTCTGGGACGGTAATCTGTAAGTTTTTTCCCCTTTGAATAAATAACCATTCTATTAATCATAATTCCAAACTGGTGTGGGATTGTCTGTGACTTACGCCTTCATCTGGCGCCCCACGTTTGGTTGTAGAACCCCCCCTTCCCCCCCACTCAACTGCTTGCTACCAGCTCGGCTAGTCACGAGACCTCCCTCAGCTGCGGCCTGTGCCCTGTATGTGGAGCCAGCAGTTCAATTAAACCCCACGCCTCCCAAGCTCCACAGGCTCAGGACAATCTCTGCAAGCCTGGTTTGCTCTTTTCTGAGTTGTTTTTAAATTTCCCTTGTAAGTGCGGTGCTTTAGTGGCGTGAATCAGAACGACTCGGTCACGTGGAGGCATACGCGGCTTCTGGGTTGCTCTTTTCTACCCCTGGATTCTGGGTTTCTGGTTCCGTGTATGGAATTGATTTAATTAAACTTTCTTTCTTGAGCAACTTATATTTCCTAGTTTTTAACAAATACTAAGGCAGACACTGAAACAGGACCTGTTTAAGTCACCTTTGCAGTGGTTCTAGTCGCAACTTGGCAACAGCGCCGCCAACTAGACAAGAGGTAATATGGCAGTTTTTGTTTCCAACGCCAATTTTACTGTTTTCTTTATTAATACAATGGATTATGTCATGCAAGGTTTATATGACTATGGGAATATATTAATTTACTTGTTACTAGGTTTCAGTTTTCTTTTCAATATTTTATCATTAAGAAAGATACGATTTTTACGGACTAATATTGAACAACTAGTTGAAAGGATTAAAATTATTGAAAATCAGGGGTTATCTGAACAAGTGGATACTATGATAGACAAAATTGACTCCATGTCCAAGGGTACTAGGAAGTTACCTGAAAGGGTACAGGCTGTTGAATTTGACGTTCAGACGTTACCACAAAGTTTTGATAAGGTAACAGATAGAATGAACCTCCAGAATGGGAACCAAAAAACTGATACCTTAGTGAAATTACTAGAAACACGGGTAGGTCAGGAGATTCAGGATTTAAGGGATACAATGATAAAAAGATTAGAAATGATTGAAGAAACTATTGGAGCTGGTGAACAGAGTAAGAAGGCACAAGGACAGGATACAATGCCACCACCAGCTGTTAGAACTGGCTTACCCAGGGTCCTAACAACATACCCTGTAATTTATTCTGACAAAGGGTTAACTTCCAAAGGCTCAAAGGGAGTTAAAGAAGCTAGATGGACACCAATAGCAATGAATGATTTAAAAGAAATTAAGCAAGCTGTCGTTAACTTTGGCTTGCACTCTGCATTTGTTAAGGAAATGATAAGGACTTGGGCTTCTAATGTCAGAGCTACCCCCCATGATTTCTCTCAGCTAGTGTCTGCAGTTTTAGATGATGGGCCTTCCTTGATGTTTGGAATTTATTTCAGAGAAGAATCCAAACATATGGAACAGCAAGGAAGAGCAAAAGGTGTGGAGGTTTCCCAAGATCAAATTCTTGGTGTAGGAGCATATGCTGATCCACAGGTCCAAGCTCTTTATGATGAAGAAGTGCTGTCCTTATGTCACAAAGCAGCCTTGAATGCTTTGAATAGAATACAAGATCCAGCAAAAAGGGTCGAATCATATACCAGGGTTAGGCAGGGACAGAGAGAACCCTTTACTGACTTTGTGCAAAGATTAATTAAGGCTCTGGACATAGGGGTAACAGACCCAGAAGCTAGACGAATACTTCTTGAATCTCTAGCTTTTGAAAATGCAAATACTGAATGTAAAAAGATAATTGGGCCTTTAAGATCTAGATCAGCACCAATGGAAGAATGGATACAGCATACAATGAATGTTGAGATGTTTAGCTATAATGATGAATCCTGGGTAGGAGAAGCGATTTCCAAAGCTATGAGGAGACATCAAACTACCAGGTGTTTTAATTGTGGTAAATTAGGACATCTGAAAAGGGATTGCAGGCAAAGAAATCCTAGGAATAATATCTCCTCTGGGAATGACAAAAGTAGGAGATCTCAGCCTTCAGGTATATGCAGGAGATGCGGTAAAGGCCGACATTGGTCCAACGAATGCAGGTCAACAACAGACAGACAAGGCAACCCGATACCATCGGGAAACTCCTTGAGGGGCCTCTCGCAGGCCCCCAAGCCAAAAGTGGCCCAGTCATTCCCAGTTACAGTCGAAAATGTGTCTCACCAAGAAAATTAAAAACTCCAATGTCTGCCGTAAAAAGTAATACTGGTCTAAATGATGAATTACATGTGGAGAATGAGTCAAAAAATTCAGGAGGACAGAGTAAACGTATATTTTGGCAAACGTATATTAACGATCAAAGACCAAAGCTAAGAGTCTGTATAAATGGCATTTTTATTGAAGGCTTATTAGACACAGGTGCGGATGTAAGTATAATTACTCCAGAATCCTGGCATCCGAATTGGCCTCTTCATGAGGTAGATGTTCAGTTCCTGGGAATTAGAACCCTATCTCGTGTAAAACAAAGCACAAGATGGGTGGAATGCATAGGGCCTGAAGGGCAAATAGGAAGATTAAGGCCATATATAGCAAATATTGCAATAAATTTATGGGGCCGTGACCTGCTACAGCAATGGAATACCCAGATTAACATTCCTGTAGTTCCAGGAACTCACAATTCTGGGAAGGATATAATGAGGTATTATGGAAAAAGGTCACCAGCCATTCAGACTGCACAAGAACACACAGCCAATAGCAAACCTTTAGAGGTACCAACAGCCCTACCTTTAAAATGGCTAACTGAGAAGCCAATATGGATCAAGCAGTGGCCTCTAGCTGAAGATAAGTTACAGGCTTTGGAACAGCTGGTACAAGAGCAACTAGATGCTAACCATATTGAAGAATCAACCAGCCCTTGGAATTCTCCTGTGTTTGTTGTAAAAAAGAAATCTGGTAAATGGAGAATGGTGACAGATCTAAGAGCTGTCAACAAGGTAATTCAGCCTATGGGTCCGCTACAATCTGGAATTCCTTTGCCTTCTCTATTACCAAGAGGATGGCCTCTTATAGTTATTGATTTGAAAGATTGTTTTTTCACTATACCTTTGCAAAAAATGGATAGAAAAAAATTTGCCTTCACAGTGCCTACTTATAATAATTCTCAGCCTACTAGGAGATATCAATGGACTGTCCTCCCACAGGGGATGCTCAATAGTCCCACATTGTGTCAATATTTTGTTAATAAGCCACTGGAAATAATTCGTAAGCAATTTCCCAAGTTCATAATTTATCATTACATGGATGACATTTTATTATCTGATTCAAATAAAGATATTTTGGAAAGTATGTTTGAAGAAGTAAAAAAAAAAAAGTAAAAAAAAAAAAAAAAAGAAAGTCTTGCCTAGGTGGGGATTACAAATTGCCCCTGAAAAGATTCAAAGAGGAGATTCTATTAATTACCTAGGCTACAGAATAGGGTTAGAGAAAATTCGAACACAAAAGGCACAAATTAGGAGAGACCGGTTACGGACTCTTAATGACTTCCAAAGATTGTTAGGAGATATTTCCAGTCTACGACCAGCTGTTGGGATAACACCTGATCTAATAGTTCATTTAAACCAAACCTTAGATGGTGATAAGGATTTGAATAGTCCCAGAAAATTGACAGTTGAAGCAGAAAAGGAACTGACAATGATTGAGGAAAAATTACAGGAGGCACATGTGGATAGGGTCAACCCGAATCTTAGTTCCATCCTAGTCATACTGCCTTCCAGAATTTCTCCTACAGGGATTTTAATGCAGAGGGAAGATATTATTTTAGAGTGGATATTTATACCTCATAAACCAAGTAAAAAATTAAAAACTTATGTAGAAAAGGTTTCAGAATTAATTATAAAAGGTAAACTGAGACTTCGTCAACTAGCAGGTATAGACCCAGCAGAAATTATAGTGCCTTTTACTACTGAGGAAATAAGAAAGTTATGGGAAGATAATGAACCATGGCAAAGAGCTTGTGCTAATTTTTTGGGAGAAATTAGCAGCAACTATCCCAAAAGTGATAGACTTAACCTCATAAAGAGAACTTCTTGGATTCTTCCTAGAATTGTACGTGATGCTCCAATAACTGGAGCTCGGACATTTTATACCGATGCAAATAAATCAGGGAAAGCAGGTTATAAATCGGAAGAATTGAGTAAGGTGGAACAAAGCCCTTATAATTCTGTCCAGAAGGCAGAATTATATGCCATTCTTATGGTGCTAAGGGATTTTAAAGAACCTCTTAATATAGTTACAGATTCACAATATGCAGAAAGAGTTATCTTGCATATTGAAACAGCTGAATTCATACCAGATGACACAGAGTTGACTTCATTGTTTATCGAGGTACAGGACATAATTAGGAATAGGCTTTGTCCAATGTACATAACACACATCCGGTCCCATACCGGTCTGCCTGGGCCTCTAGCACAAGGTAACGCTGAAATTGACCAATTATTGATTGGAAGCGTTCTGCAGGCCTCAGAATTTCATAAAAAACATCATGTCAATAGTAAAGGCTTAAAGAAAGAGTTTTCCATTACATGGCAACAAGCTAAGGACATTATAAAGAGATGTCCTACTTGTTCTTTCTATAATCAAACACCGTTGCCTGCAGGGAGTAACCCAAAGGGTACTCAAAGGAATGAAATCTGGCAGATGGATGTGTTCCACTTTATGGAATTTGGTAAATTAAAATATGTACACCACACCATAGACACGTATTCAGGTTTTCAATGGGCAACTGCCCTGAGCTCAGAAAAGGCTGATTCGGTAATCACACATTTATTGGAAGTTATGGCCATCATGGGTATACCTGCACAAATAAAGACAGACAATGGTCCAGCATATGTATCTAAGAAAATGAAACGCTTCTTTGCTTATTATAATATAAAACACGTTACAGGTATACCAAATAATCCTACAGATCAGGCAGTTATAGAAAGATCAAATCGTACTATAAAGGATAAGCTAAACAAACAGAAAGGGATGAAAGATACCCCCAGAAATAGATTGCATAATGCTTTATTAACCTTGAATTTTCTTAATGCTAATGAGAAAGGAACAACAGCAGCAGAGAGGCATTGGATAATGGAAAAAACTTCTGAACTAAACCAACCTGTTTATTTCAAAGACGTGCTGACCTCTCAATGGAAGCCAGGAGATGTGCTACGTTGGGGAAGGGGTTTTGCTCTTGTTTCCACAGGAGAAGAAAAATTGTGGATACCATCAAAATTAATAAAGGTTCGATTTGAAGAGGAGAAACCTCTTGGAAAGGAGAAATGACAGCATCTACAATGATGATAACCGTACAGGTGGTAAGAAAAGCATATAGAATGGGGGCAGGGTTCTGTTCTTATCTCCACAGGAAAACACTGATCTTTGAAAAGTTCAAGGGACCCTGGATATTTGAATACTGACAGATGGAAAATAACGGCCCAATAGGGACTATCAAGAAAACTTAATAGGTTCTGTAAGTAAAATATACTAAATCATATTTCTAAATTTATAGAGCTGGTTTTAGAGTTGGACTCTGGCTCAGTCCCTCTCTAATTCCAAGCCTGTTGTTTAAACAAAAACCCAGAGTTTCTGGAGTTTCTGTCTCATGTCAAGAGCCATGATATGGGACAGAAAGAAATATGAGTTTAGAAAACATCTTTACTTTTCTTCATATCTATCATACCTTCATTAAATATATCTATCATGTCTCTCATTGAATATAGGTATTCATGTATATGTCTATATAATTAATGTTTAAGTTTTCCACAATGAACAATGAGTTTTTCCTACAGTGACATTTGAAGTTTCCAGGAAGAAGATGAGGCCCCATAACAACAACTCCACCTGGTTGATATGACGTCATGATACTGATAGCGCTACTACAAGACCTGTTTTGGGTACCAGCTGCACAAGACGGTTCCAACGTGCTGAAATGGTGCACATCTTGTACAACATTCTGGCCAGACCTCCACAAAATACTCAGAGACTATTTGCAATTTTAAAAGACATTGATCTTGAAATTTAACCATCATTTTACTTTCACAGGATCCCCCAGAAAGAACGTCGCCCCCATGACAGCTGGAAGTAATTCTAGAGAACGACGTCCCCTCTCCCAATAAAGTTTGTCCTTGGGTTTAGGGACATAATTTAGGGGTTGGTTATAATTAGTATACGGTTGAGGGTTGGGGGAGGAATTTTATAAGCACAGGAATCTTAAAAAAAAAAAAGAGGGATAATTGGATTATGGGATAAATAGATTTGTACTTGTGAGTTATTGCTTTTAGACAAACATATTGGTATCGATTCTTATATATTGATACAAAGTTAAATTATGTTGACTATTTTATGCATGCATGCTTCATGCTTCTACCTCTGTTTAAAACATTTTTATGTATTTGTATATATATATTGTATTGATATATGTATATTTACCATATTGCATTGTACACTTCTACCTCTGATTAAGATACTTATATATTGTTTATGTATTGATATATATATTTACCATATTGCAATGTATACTTGCACATTGTTTATATTTGGAGGTCACATTGTCCTCATTTATTGCACAGTTGTTTATTATCTCAGCTTTTAAGTTAGATAGATATTGAGAATTATATAGATCAACAGTCATCTAAGTTTGTCATTTATAATTAGGCTAATCAGGTTCTTTAGATATATAGAGATTATATTCAGTATAGATAGATAATCTTCAACCTCTTCAAAGAGCTGTAGAAAATGGCCTTTAATCTAATTCAGAGTTCTATGGTAGGGAGACACAATCACTCCTGGCAACACTGATCTATGCCCGAGAGAATGTTGAGCACCAAAGACACTCCGCCTGGAGCCTTTCTTCTTGGCAGAACTGGCCTTTGGGTAAAGAAATGCTCATACCTCAACTACTGACAGAGTTACAGAATATCCGTAAATGGATAAAACAAGACTGTCATATCCTGCCAAGACAGGATAAGATAGTTTTGAAGTTTCTTGCCTTTGAAAATGGTATGTCAGTTACATCAGGCCTTAGCCAAAGTTGGTTGCTTCAACGCTGCAAATGTGACTTTGGGTGTTTGTCCAGGTAGCCAGTTGTCTCTGCGATTTGGTACATGTTCTGGAAGTTGTTTGATTGCACTTCCTAATTACTCAGATAACATTATTTCCCTTCTCAGATCTTCGATGGGATTGAAGATTATATAAATGTAGTTACTTTCCTTTCATGACTTGGCCAAGTTATTTGTTATACAAGACTTAAGCTAGTTAGAATAGGATATTTGTATTTATTGTATATAATTTCGTAGGTTTGTACTTATTGTATATAATTGCGTAGTAGGCTTAGAACTCTCTTACTTAAACAAAAGGGGGAGATGCTGTGGGAGTTCCTTCAGCTCCTTCAGCCAATCGCCGCTGAGTTACCAGCCCATTGGGGCGTGGTCTCTCTCCCTTTAAAAAAAGCAACGGCTGTCCTCCACTCTGTCTTTGTCTTCCGGCTCCGTTTCCGGCCCCTGGACTCCTTTCCTGTTCGCGCGGAGGGGCTGTTGTCTGGGACGGTAATCTGTAAGTTTTTTCCCCTTTGAATAAATAACCATTCTATTAATCATAATTCCAAACTGGTGTGGGATTGTCTGTGACTTACGCCTTCATGAGAGGGCAGGTAGACATGGATGCTTTTTCCAGGATACAATTTTGACTTGGGATCCTGCTCTGTATGCTCTGAATATGCTTTATTACCATTGGTTAATAAAGAAGCTGTTTCAGCCAATGGCTTAGCAGAGCAAAGCTGGGTGGGAAATCTGAACAGAGATATAGAGAGAGAAAGAGTTGGCAGAGTCAGGGAGACGCCATGTAGCTGCCGAAGAAGGATGCCAGAACCTTATCGGTAGGCCACAACCTCGTGGTGATACACAGATTAATAGAAATGGGCTAATTTAGGATGTAAGAGCTATTTAGAAATACGCTTAAGCTACTGGCCAAAGAGTATTGTAATTAATATGGTTTCTGTGTGATTATCCGGGTCTGAGTGGCCAGGAAATGAAAGTGCAGTCTCCTTCTACACAACTTCAGCTTAGAGAACAAGTGGCTGCCCTTCTTCCAGACCAGGCTAGATGAGCCAGGCTCCTTCCATGTCAGATGTCACTTCTCTTCACCTTCTGTCCTCTCAGCCTCACGGACTGACTGAGGTTATCATGGGTCACAACTGAACAAAGACGCACACAGAGTCATCCCAGAACCTTTGGGTGTGATCCACTTGTGTGGGAGAAAGCTTCTTCTGGGGACAGAGAAGTCGCTATATTCTATTGTCATGGCAAATCAGACCTTTTCCCTTGGAGTATCCCCAAACAACAGAGGACTCATCCACGGTAGGAACCTTCTGATCTGTGGAAACTTCACCCTTCAGAACAGCAAACGACAAGAAATGGCACGGAGGATCTCAAGAGGAGAGATCTCCATTAGGCACTGGGTCATCTAGCTATGTGTAGTTCCCAACGACCCCAAAGACCCCTTAACACCCAAATGTCATCCCTTCAGCTCTGAGACCAGCTCCTTGTTTCTTTCCTAAGGCAGGCCAGTTAATGCCCAGGAATTAATCAGCACGGTCAGGGTGCCAGCTGCATCTTCTACCGGGTCCTGAAGGGCTATTCTGTCTTGAGGACCAATGCTATTTCTCACGTCAGTTGATTTACAGAACACAAGTGAAGCAGACACCATGAAGAGAAAGGAGAACCCAAGGGTACATAGGACCCTTGGCTCATCCTGCACTCCAGGAGAAGCTCTGCACTGGCTGGAAGTTGTGAAGGCCTGGCTGTTCTCTTGAATGTGTACAATAGACTTTCCTGTCTCTGGGATTCAGATCCAAGGACTCAACCAACCTCAGGTTGAAAGTGTAGCTTTCTATAGTTTGTGTGTATGAGTGTGCCAGCATGGTATATGTGTACCACATGTGTGCCAGCATGGTGTATGCGTACCACATGTTTGAGGTTCTCCCAGGCTGTAAGAGGTCATTGGATCCCCTGGAACTGGAGTCGCAGTAACTGCAAGTCAGCGTGTGGGTGCTGGGTCCACACCTGGGTCCACACCTGGGTCTTCTGAAAGAGCAGTAAGCATTCTTAACTGCTGAGGCGTCTCTCTAGCCCCCGTGCATGATATTTTGAGTCACCTGAAGATGACTTGGAGAAGAGGCCATAGGCTACATGAAAACACTGCACCAGTCAGAGCGAAGATGGCAGGCATCTCGGATGTGGAGTCTATGGGAGTCCTGATGCTTAGAAAGCCGTATGTGTCTACTTATATACAGTCAGCATTTGTGGTTGAGAGCCACCCAGTGTCAGTGCCGGGAACCCAATTTTGGTCCTCTGCGAGAATACTGTGTACTCCTAACTGCTAGGCTGTCTCTTCAGTTTTTCTTTTTTAGTTTTTCCCACATTTATTTGTCTGTGTATGAGAGAGAAAGAGAGAGTGTGTGCGTGTGTGCAGGTGTGCATGTGCGTGTGTGTGTGTGTGTGTGTGTGTGTGTGCGTGTCTGTGTGTTAGCACTCACACCGCTGCACACATATGGAGATAAGAAGACAACGGGCAGGAGCAAATTTTTCCTTCCACCATGTGAGGCCTGGGACTCAAACTCAGACCTTTAAGCTCAGAATCAATCGCCTTTGCCTCCTAAGCCATCTCACCAGTTCCCCTGTGCTGTCTTTCTTAATATACCAGTCTGCATCCTGCTGACCTTCAGACTCCAGGCTTGTCTGAGACCCTGCCATATCCCAGGCCTGACCTTTAATTTACACTGTGTCTCTTACCCGGGGTGTGTCATCCATCCTACCCCTCCCATCTATTTCCCTGTTTCCATATGAACTAGCAAGTGTCCGTCTTTGCCCCGGTCATGAGCTAGTGATGAGAGCCCGGTGAAGAAGATTCCTCACACGAGGAAAGAGGGAGGTGGCAGAGGAGACCCAGATAACAAGAGGCCTGTAGAGGAGGCCACACAGGGAGGAGAAGACAAAAATTTCTCTTTCCAGGCTTCTCTGCCCAGGAACTGCAATTTTCAAGGATGCTCAGCTCCTGGTTCCTGGCTCCTGCCATTCAAACTGAGCAATCTTAGGTAACCGTAACCCAGTTATCTGGGAATTTCATTTCCTTGTGAAGCCCCAGGATCCTTCCTGAGACCTGGACCACGCCACAATCCACTAAGAGAAAGAGCATTTTATTCCCATTGGTGATGGAGCTCGAGGAAGACTTAAGTGCTGCCCTCGCGCTCCTGCTCCTTCGCAGCTAATGTGGCATTTGCGTTTTCACTCCGTGTCAACGGGGGCTCGGTAATTACACACGTGAGCCAGTGCCGTAAAGCCATGCAAGCCAGGACCAGTTTAGAGACACCCCGTGGGTGGAGGGCTCACCAAGCACAGACACAATTTCATTAAAATGTTCAGCAATTCCAAGTAAACAAGACCCACCCCCACCCCCCACCCAAGGCTCTGTGCGAGGCGAATTCTGCTCCTCAGGTGACAGAAAGCTTGGAGAGAGCTCAGAAGTTAAGCATGACATTTTCAGGTGAATTATAAGATGAAAATGGGGTTTTTTTTATTTTTCTATTTAAAAAATTAAGAAGAAATTTCCCTGCGGGCTGTTTACATTTCTAAGCTGGAGAAAAACACAAGCAAACCCTACAAAATGTCACTGACAGTTTCTTCCAGAATGGTCATTAAGGCTCATGTTTTTATTATTACAGTCTTGGTGTGTGTCGAGACAACTATGGGAGTAAGGAAGCTGTGGCCTTGGGTGACAGTCGATGTCTACCTTAGTATTTCTGTGAAAAGAAAAGTCCCATCTGGACCCAAAGCCTCTGGATCTGTGGTTTAGCTTTCACGGCATCTGGAGCTGCCCAGTGATTCTGATGTCCACCCTATGGGGAAGAATCTAGAACCCTGTGACTCCTGTGATATCTCCTCAGGCTCCTTAACATGACTTGCTCTCATTAGTGTTCACATTTCCCTTCCTTTTCAGGTTCAGGAAGACAGACTTCCCAACCACCTGCAGCAATAACGCTAACTGATAAATTTGGCCAGCTTCTGGCAGAAGTAGACAGTTCCTTTTATTTTCCTGGCTATTCATTTATTTGCCTATTGTTAACTGAGCTGAAAGTAACAGGTTTCCTCCTGGCACTCCCTCTTCTCTCCTCCTCCCACCCCTACTCAGTCTAGTCTAACCCAGGGGTCCCCTGTTTGCATTTATAAAACTGCACATAGCACACACTCTACTGCAATTCTCTCCTCACCTCCAAGTCTCATCCTGCCCCGCCCTCCAGGCTGCTTTATGGTTTCCTGGCCTACAGAAATCACCCCTATAAGCACACAAATACAAAAATAAGAATTCGGGTTCTGCATATTAGAAAGAACACGGGATATTCCTAAATTTGGGTCGTCTTGCTTAATATTTTCCAACCCCACCCATTTTTACATCATCCTCCACGCTTCTCCTGGGCGTAGCTAACTAAAGGCTGTATTCCAGATGGAACAGTTTCTAAGAGGCAATACCTGCCTCAAGCAGAGACCCAAAGAGATGCTGGAGAAGTAGCCAAAATGCATATCCTTACCATGTTGGGGATGTGCCAGTTATTTTTAGCCCCCAACTTGACACAGTCTAGGGTAATCTGAGAGAAACTGAAGTTGAAGTGTTGTCTTTACCAGTTTGGCCCATGATCATGGCTATGGAGATTGCCTTGACTGACATTGATGTAAAAGGGCCAAACCCTCTGCAGGGATCACTATCTCCAGGCTTGTGGCCCTGAACTCTTAATAAACTTAGCTAAGTATGAGCCAGAGAGCAAGTCAGCAAGCAGCCTTCCTCTGTGGTTTTTGCTGCAGGTTCCTGTTTGAGTTCCTGCTATGACTACCATCAATTATGTTTTGTGACCTGGAAGTGTAAGCCAGACTTTTGCTTCTCTACCGGCATACTGAGAGGCATGCCCTCCAGCTCACTACCTCCAGGGAGGTCTGATCCCCAGAGGGGGCACCAGGGACAGGAATGGAACAGCACAGGTACACTTCCAGTTAGATGTCAGTGTCAGAAGCCACAGAGAGAAGCAGAGGAATACTTCAGTGCATAAGAGACGGGAAAGAGGGTAAGTCTCCACTGGACCCTGGATTTGGCTCCCAGATGGTGTACATGGGACAGGGAGTAGACCAGACTGTGGAGAGTATCCTGAAGTGTGTCCCTGCCCATTTGCAAAGGCCAGAGAGAGGATTCCCCCATCACAATCTGAAGGCGTAAGTCACAGACAATACCACACCAGTTTGGAATTATGATTAATAGAATGGTTATTTATTCAAAGGGGAAAAAACTTACAGATTACCGTCCCAGACAACAGCCCCTCTGCGTGAACAGGAAGCAGAGCCGGAAGCCAGAGAGGGAGAGGAGGACAACCGCTGCTTTTCTTAAAGAGAGAGAGACCACGCCCCAATGGGTTGGTAACTCAGCGGCGATTGGCTGAAGGAGCGGTAGGAGCTCCCGGAACAACAATCTACTTGCCTAGAGGAAGACAGTCAATCCAAGTCTACTCAGTGCTGGCCGGGCCCTTCAACCTAAGACAGGTCCAATCAGGCCCACTTGGCTCAGAACTCACAGAAATCCTTGTGGAAAGCTACCTTGGTTCCTAGGCAACTTTGAAGCATCCCTGTGGCTGATCAGGTGGGGAAACAGTAAAAATGGGTGAGGTTTATGCAAGCCCTTCATGTATAAGGAAGGTCAAACAATCATGAGGATGTCAGACCCAAAGTCAGGTCCTCCTTCTCTCTCTCCATCCCTCCCTCCCTCCTTCCCTTCCTTCCTTTCTTCTTTCCTCCCTCCCTCCCTTCCTCCATCCTTCTTTTCCTCCTTCCTTTCTTCTTTCTTCCTTCCTTCCCTTCTCTTTATCTTTCCTCCTTTTACCTTTTCTCCCTGACTTCCCACCTTTCTTTTTCCTTCCTTCTGTCCCTCTTTCCTTCAACCTCCCTTCCTCTCTTCATCTTTCTTAACATCCCTTCTTCCTTCCTTTCCTCCCTCCTTCCTCATCCCTCCATCCCTCCTTCCCTTCCTCCCTTTCTCCCAGCCCTCCTCCATCCTGCTCTTCCTACTTTCTTTCTTTTTCTTCTTTCTCCCTTTATTTTGCTCACAGGGAAGCTACACAGTAGACTATAGAAACAACATGCACAGGAATTTTGGTCAGCATTCAAACTCGACACTTCTCAGGCTGGATGTTTTAATTCTCTGAGCCCCAGTTTCCCTCCTGTGGCACGAATGAGTCAAGAAGTGAAACCCTGGCCCTGTGCTCTGGGCCTTAGTGGCTGTCATTTTTCTATTCCCAGCATGCTGCAGGCAGGATGCCCATGTCCTGAGGGCCGGGTTTCCTGGGAAGCAGCCAGGGTTGCAGGGAGGTTTTGAGGCACATCTGCTAGGCAAAGGCAGGACTGGGTTTTCCTCAGACTGTAGCTTCCCGCAGCAGGAGCTTCTCCAGGACCTGTGCCTAGATCTGCAGAATCTCAAACGGAGTAAAACCATCTGAACAAGTGTGGCTCCGAGGCTTCCTTCCGACTTAAGCAAATAGATTTCAGTTTTCCGTTTGCAAATTCCTCCCTGGATTTAGATTTGGGAGTCACTTGGCACAGTCTTCCTCTTAGAATAGTTTTCAAAGAGAGAAAATGCCTAAAGCAAAAGCTCTCAATTCCACCACGTCTTCTTCCTTTGCTCGCTCTCCCCTGTCAGGGAGGAACTGAACTTTCTGCTGCCCCCTCCTCCCCACGGCCCCCAGTCTCCTTGTTTAATGGGAAAAAGCCCTGCTTCCCACCACTCTTCCCTCTCTTGTCTTTATCCACCCTTACCCAGTAGACGAAAGCAGGTCACTTTCCCGAAGGCACGGACAACCAAGAGAGGAGGCTCATCTCCTACTCTGTGCCTGTGGCCAGAGAAGCAGCTGTGGGAACAGAAGGAGGAAGGGTAAGAGACTCCAGTGCTTCTGGAGCTGAAGGAATTGCTAGGAAGAGTCACAGAGGCATGTGGTGGCTGCTGAGGACATGGCCAGTGGGGGTCAACCTTTGACTCGGCCCGAAAAAACTCCTTTATCGTATTTAGCACAGATGTCTAGCTCCGACAGAGACCTTGGAAGACCCTGATCACTGACATGATGGGGAGGGTGTCTGTATCACCGTGGCTTCTGTCCTGGTCAACACATAAAGGGTGGCAACGGTCCTTCACCTCTCTGTGTCCTCCCATTCAGGGACATTTCCTGCAGGGGATGAATAAGAACAGAGTGGAAGAAATAACAGGGTTCTATGTGCTTTCAGTCCTGGGAGCTGAAGCCTGCTGTGCTTACTAGTTTCGGTGTCAGCTTGACCGTATCTGGAGTGAACCACCATCCAGAACTGGAGGGCACACTTGTGATCCAGATCCTGAGGCAGGAAGGCACACCTTTAGCCTGGGCCACACCGTCTTCTGGAAACCGATATAAGGATAGTGGAGAAAG